CATTTTATGTTTATTTAATTTTATACTTTCAATGTTAAATGCAATCTATATTGTGTTAGGATGGTAGGTAGTTAAAAGAGTGAGAGCGGAAAAATGTTAAGTTATTGTTGTTATTGCTTTTTGCTACGATCATGAAGGAAAAATGTGTTATTTTTCACACGAAAAATTTTTATATTCGTTTCTATATATTTTCCGGGTTTTATTCACTACTGTGTATGGTTTTAAAATCTTTAGTTTAAATAGTAAATTTAAAAAAAAAAATTATTCGATACATTTTTCAAAGTTTTTATTAAGATTTTGCAACTATAAAAACTGTTATACATTTTTGAATTGGACATTAAAATAGCATCTTGCTGTGCTATTTGCGCTCTCTTGGATTGTTTCGAGAAGCAGTCATGCAAAATAAATAACTTATAGATAATATTATACAAGAAGACAATATGAAAACTGTTATACGCCATATTCTTTATCCTGGCATCAAAATAGCATATCCTGGCATCTTGCTGTGCTATTTGCTTTCTCTTGGAGCGTCTCAGAGAACAACCATGCAAGCCAACTATTAGTATACAAAGAAGTAATAATATACAACGAGAGGATATGAAACTGTTATACACTTTTAAAATTCTTTTTTACGGTCGATATTTGAATAATATTTGAACGTCATTTGTAAGAACCTGTGCTTTAATTCATATATTGGCGTCAATTATTTAAAAAAGTATAAAAAGAGATGAGAAATTTCGAATTTGCTCTTATAATATGTCACAAAATTTTACTAATAATATTTTTATAAAAAAAATATTTTACTATACTTATACTATCATTCTATTCTTAAATTAGTTATGCCCAGGTGATTTTTCAAAGTTTTTTTTTCTATATTTTCCTTGTTTCTAGAACAAATAAATAATGTGGAACTTAAAAATAGAAATAAAAAAAAAGCCTCCAATATTTTCTCATCTTACAAAATACTTATATATGTACATATATATGTAAGTATGTATGTATGATATTTGTGTTCCGATGTTTTGCGTGTGTTTTGAATGATTTGGATATTTTTTTCACTTCAATTCTATAATAATTGTCAGAGTATATGTGTATAGAATCATTCATGTTATAGTGTAAAAGAAGAACTTTATTGAAGGCCAAAGCGAAACATTTTAATTTCCCTATAAGTATCTATGAACAATTTTTAATATTGTATTTGTTTTAGGTCCCAAACAAAATTTGATATACATACTTAAACCTGAATAATATTGATCCATATAAGTAATGTGTGGTGGATCAGGAAATGCGTAATTTAATTTAACATAAATTTTTTTTTCCGACAATATGATTATCAATTTCTTTACCAACATTATACCTGTTCCAAATAACAACAAAAATCAAAATAATAGAGCCCCAAAAAAACCTTGAATTTGAGATTTTGCATGCACAAAGCAAATATAAAAAAAAAAGGTATTGAATTCGATTTAAGTTTGAGGAAAGAAAAAACAGAGACCAAATATAATAGAAAAGGTTAGGAATTGATCGGATCAAATTTTCATGATCAAGATAGTTTATATGACAAATAATATGTATATATATGTACTTACACATTGAAACGCATAATAAGCAAGCATAGTTGAATTTTAAATAGTTAGCTCATTATTTATTTTTTAGTATAACAATATAAAAATGTGAATTATTGACTTTGACTTTGAAAAATATAACAATTATAAAAATATTATATACACATGTATTCTTAGGCTTTTTATAATGACAGTATATCAATTTACAATAATGATGTGCGAAAATAAAACAAAAAAAATTCTTAAAAATATAAAAATTTTTTGATGAAAAGGGTCAGGCAGGCGGCTCTTTCTACTTGAAAAGTGCGTAATTTAAAACTTTTATAGTAATTTTTTAAATTTTTTATTGACTTCTGAGAAACATTTGTTTTTCATTTTAAGAAAATTATATTTAATAGAAAATAGATACTTAAGAATATAGTTAAAATATAGAATTTTAATCTAAAATTTTAAATTTTTTTAAATTAATTAAATTTTTTTGATTTTATTTAATAGGGTAAAATTATAGGCACTCTTCCAAAATTTAATTTACAAACAGTTTGCAAAAATCATGAGTTGCAATACAGTTTGACGCTAGCGCTATGAAGTGGATTTGACACAATTGGGTATGATTTTCATTTGCAAATGAAATTCTAATAGATGTGATTGACATAATCTTCAGGCATGTCATTAATGACATTCTGAGAAAATGCCATAATTTGAATGAAGATTTCAATTTTCCAAAAACAATTTAAAAAAATACTAAATAGAATAATAAACACAAAATTTTTTGAAACTGGCAACAACAAATTTTCAGTAGTCTTAATTTAAATATCGTTAAAATATTTCAAAATATTTTGGTAAAACAAGTAGTTTTAAAACTCCCTCCTTATTTAGTAAGTTAAGCTAACAATCCGGTGAATTATACCGTTCAAAGTAATGAAAGCTATACGCTTCATTTAACACCCTTTTCCAAATATTTAAATTTTTTCTATATCTTCTTTCCAGCTTATAGCTAAGAGGGTGTGAAATGAAGTGCAAAACTTTCAACACTTTGAACTAGTTAGCGTAAAAGAATGGAATGAAACATTGACAATTAATATCTTGTTTAATTATCAAATTATAAGATTAAAAAGTCGCACATGACGTCGTGTAATTCAGAACAACAATCTTGTCTCTTATATAAAAATGAGATATGACTTATAAGCAAAACTTCAATTATATTATAAAAGCTTTTCTTATATGCAAGTTCTCACTCAATTCATACTTTTAAACCCGTTCTACCGTGTTCGCAATAAATTTGTAACTACTGTTCTCAAAAACAAAAATTCTAAACAGTTATTAGTATAACAGTCTTCACATTTTAATAAATTATGTCTAATTATATCTACAAACATCCATGTACATGTTATGTATATGTATGATACTCTTAAACATTTACAATGACAGAAACATAAAAAAAATTATAACAGAAATTTTAACCGAAAAAATAAAATATCATCAACCTCTAACAAATCAATCTAAATGTCAAAATAAACAAATGTATATGTATGTATGCACATATATAATTGCAAATATACACGTTGTATATTTTATAAACGCAAAATGGTTTTCTTTTTGGTTTTTTCTTCATTTCTTTTTACTCTTTGTTTCCCTCGAATTATTTCACCGCATATGTATGTATGTTTGTGCACATACATTAATATAAATAAAAACTTTAACAGCTTTATAACCATTATACGACTGTAAATCATGATTAATTACTGTTATAAGAACAATGTATGTAAAACATGACAAATGCTTAAATTCTGAGTAGAAAGTGGAAAAAAATATTGAACTGTTATATTAAAAGTACGCGTTGTGAGGTGACGAAATGAAGGAAAGAAAACTGTTGGAATTATAAAATTGGCAAAAATTTAAAGATTTTGTTTGGATTCTAATAAATCAAAGCTCGTTTAAAACCTGTTTACTTTTAATCAAATAATGTAAATGAAAAATTGGACCTCCAGCGAACTCATAAACTCACTCTTGTATGTTTTCAAATTTTTATGATGCGTATTTAGCTGCAAAAGGATCTTTGGATTATTAGCCTAACATAATGTCATAAGAAATAATCTCAACTCCTTGAGGCGTTCTTTTGTGGTTGATAACATTTCGTGCATATACGGATATAAAATTGATAAGCAAAATTCAAATGATGGGAATGGTATGTTTACATTGACGGGGCGTTTTTAGTCCACCACTAAAAAAGTTTTCAGTCCACCACTAATTTTGAGTGACTTTCCATTTGTCATTAAATATTCTAGATCAGCACATAAATAGTTTAAGAATCCGCAGTGCGGCGGACACTGGTGTTGCAGTAGTCGACCTGTCAGGGTTTTGAGTCTGCCAAACAAACCCAAATGATCGATAAACAACATCTCCAAGTAGGAAATATGCAATTTAAACTAACCATTTGACCAATTTTTTTTTATTTTGCCCTTTTTAAAACATAAAAATCATCAACTTTTTACCAAGAATTACGCGAAACTTACGCAGAAAAAAAATTTTTGCTATCGGCAATTTTAATCTGTTTTTTTTTAATTTTTAATTCTTTTCAAAGACGCTTTTCAATTGACTTCCATTTATTTAAATTTTTACTTTATTACTTTTGTATTCTGCTTATGCTTGTTGTGAATCTAAGTAACAAGCAAAAAAAAAACTCGTACATACAAACAAAAAACTGAAATTTAATTTGAAACGCAACAAAATATTTTTTTTTTATTTAAAGTCAAGAACCGACGGCGTGTGTTATACACCGCTTAGTTGTCATTATATGTCATTTTAATTACCTCCACGTAAAATGTAAAAAAGTCAAGGCAAACAAAAAAATGAAAGAAAAAAGTTGTTTTTAAATGCACCAATTTTCTACAGCTGGGAAAAATAAAGAGGTTGATATTAAAAAAAGGAGCACATTTTATCTGTTTGATCTTGAAAAAAGGCAACAAACACAGTGAGTGCGCGAATCGGAATAAAGAATTCGTTATTTTTTTTATACTAAAAGTTAAAAATTTTTTCTGAAGAAATGAAATTAGAAAAGAATAATCTATATATTGCAGAAAGTGTATGAACGCGCGCATTATACTGAAATCACATTAAATATTTTATTACTAATGTCATGGACTCAGTCAGCCGGAGTCCGCTTATACCTATACCAAAAATTTCATAAGAATTTGTGATTATAAACCATAATTTATAACGCTACGAACATTGTAGTCAAAAGTAAATTGAGATTTTTGCTTTGTTAAAAGGTAAAGGTAGTGAAATTTTTTAACATCGCCGGATTATGACTATAAAATGTAGTAATTATAAACGAATTCCGGTATGCATAGTCCCCTCAAATCGACAATAAAATGAAAGTTTGTATCAATATTTTCAACTCTTTTAAAAGTCACATTTTTATCCGCTTCACTTCAGGCAAATATGCAAACACATATGTACACAATTACATTTCAACATACTCTTACAATGTATGATGTAATTACAAAAATAAATACACATAATAATAATAACTTACATACACAATTTAGTTACTTAACGCTTTGTTAAAATTAAAGTACCGTAAAGATTTCATCTTAAGATTAAAAACTTATTTTGCACCAGCATAATAAAAAAACACACACAAATTAAATGCTCAAAATCATGAAGAACATAGAAAAACATACCTGGAAATAAAAAAGAAAAGAAAAATAAATTAATGACATTTGTCAAAATATGTATAGATGTATATGTATAAGTGTGATATATAAAAATGTATGTATGCATAGCCAAGCATATACGCAGTAACTGAGAGTAAGAACATTGGTTTGTAATAAAAATATAAAATTGCGAAAAATTATTAACATTATTCACTAATGACGTTCAATATCATTTTAAGTTTGAGGAAGAAAGACTAAAAATAGACTCAATCTAGTTTAATTTCGAAGTTCCGCAAAGAATTCACAGGATCGTTACCGTATCCTAAATTAGTATCGTACAACGCACCATCATATTTCGCCAAATATAGTCAAATATCTTTCCGCGAGTGACAGAGTAGAACAAGTTTACAAAATTATAATACTGTACGTGTGAACTTATTTCTTACCCCATATGCTAGAGTTACAAAATTCACAATTTTTGCTTTTACGCAATTTAATTGGTTTGAAATTTGTATTCGAAAAATCGCATTTTAAAAAAAAATTAAATTTAATTATTGGTTTTTTCCCCAATAACTTAATCATAATTTCTTTTTTATTTAGTATCTTTTTGCTCAAAATTTATAGTTTCTTGTTGCGTTTATGAATACACCTTGAGTACACCTTGCGTATATTTTTTTTTCAAGAGCGCATTCAATATTAGAACCCAAACAATAACAAGGTTTTGATAAAAAGATTTATGTAAACATTATGCAAACATTGAGCCAATTTCTTTAAGACGGCATGCCACAAAATTTATTGGTGTTTATTTTCTTATATGTATTTCCCCCAATCTTCCCAAGCAACACCCGCGAAAAAAAAATAAAAAAAAAATTTAAGAGATTTATGTTGACAGACACTTGTTGCCTTCAGTTTTTTTGTTGCAAGACTTAGGAATTAGTTCCTTAATTTTTTGCTTATTTATAAAACCAAAAAAAAAAAAACAGGCAACAATCATTACGATAATTTTATAGATTTTTTTTAGAAATAAGAGCAGAAAGAATTAAAGAGCATCTGCTGTAAAGGAGAAAAAAAATGTCCTTTTGTTTTTTCCCCCTGCTTTCCTTACTCTTTTTAAAGTTAATAAAACCGTGATCTTATCCACTTAAAATCGTTTAAAACACAAAACAAAATTAACATTTTATTTCTGGCTATCCTCCATTTAAAAAGAGCAAAAAAAATATTCTGAAATTTTTATGTAAAATTTTTTATTCTCTTTGATTCTCATTTCGTAACATTAGAAAAAGCAATTTAAGGACTTTTTAATTCCCTGACTTGTCGTTTCGACTAAATAAAATTTCTCAATTCAATTCTGCGTTAGTTTTAAAACAAAATCTGTTTATCTTTATAAGCTGATAGCCATGCAATTAAGTTTTATATTTTGCAAAAACGAAAAAAAAAATGTGTAAGTAGATAATAAGGCAATAATTTTAGGATCTTTAAACAAAAAAAAAGAGACAAATGTATTTTGAGTTCTTTTGTACACTTACATTACATACATATCCATATGGAAGAATAAAAAAATGAGATCGAAATTTTCAAACCCCTTACATACTTTGGCACATTTTCTTCCACATTTTTTTTTGTTTTCTTAACTCGTTCGCTACCAGGGTCTTCTGGGAAAAACGTCCACAATAGCCCAACATTTTTTTGGTGGTTATATTAAATGAATTGAAATAGATTTTACGTATGTATATTTAGAACAGTCTAAAAAAGTAAAATAAGTATTCTTTTAAACTGACCCAAATATGTGACGCTGGGCTAACTTAACAATTTAGTTCAATACTCAACATGTTCAAACATGCTTTTGTAAATTATACAAAAATATCTGTCACATATATGTGTCGCCGGGCTGTGGTAAAGAAACGCGGTGACACATATATGTGACGATTGGTAGCGAACGAGTTAATTTAAGAAAAAAAAATAAGCAAAACTATATAATTTTGAGCAATTTTATGTTTAGAAATTGTCAAATTTGACAATTGAAATATCAGTTTAAAATATTATTCATATTAATGAATAATTTATTAGGGAGGAAGACAAAACATTAAAAAAATGTATAAAAAACGATCATTTATGTTAGTAATCAAAAAAAAAAAAATGGAGGCAGCTGTTTTTGTTTATGATTTTTCTACTTTATGTCAAATAAATTTTGCAAGAAATCAAACAGCAAAAGGAAAATTAATTGACAGATTGATTCAAATATAATTTTTTTTTGGTGAACATATCAGAGCAGAGTTGTCATGCGATTGCAATTGTCAATTTTGTTCAATTATTGTTTTGACAATTATTTCTTATTAAATATTTATTAATTTTTTTTTTACTATTATGTTGCTGTTATGATTTTTGTCCTCCATTTTTTTCATTGTTTTATAGTGCTTTCGTTTTTAATTATGTACCACATTTTTTTAAGTAATATATTGTTGTTAATATTACTAATTCAATCTTAAGTCGAAATCACATATTAATGGAAAAGCAAAATTATTACAAATCACAAACACAACCTATTTCGGCACAAGCCACTTCTAGAAAAGGAAAACGGTATTTGTAAAAAAAAATTATTTTCGTGGCAATTAGAGAATTTTTTGTTTACAAAAATAAAATTTTAATCAAGTGTAAGTATTTAGTAATATTTTAAAAATTTATTTATGTAAAGTTAAAAATAGATGTCTACGGATGACCTTGAGTGAAACAAATACAATTCAAAAAAAAAAAAACAAATCATAAAATACAAAATAATGCAAAATCATCGCGCAAAGTTTTTGTCATTTTGTGAAATGATTCAACCCTTTTTTGATATTTGAGGTTATACAACGCGTAAAGCGAACTAGCAACGGAAACAAAATTGGAGGTGCCTCTAAAAACTTGTCGATTCATAAGTTTATTAAATTTATTAGGTAGTACACCTAGTGTAGTTATAGCGTTGGTCGCACTATAAATTCCGACACACATACCTAGTTGATTTTTTTTTGATATTTAATTAAAATTTAATTACGAAAATACTTGTAAAATTAACAATATTAAAAATTTTTAATAATCTTCTATTTTTTTAAAAGCTTTGTCATTTTAAAAATTTATGTATGTTTTCATAATTAATTTTTTAACGATTTTTCACAATTCAATAATTCAATATATTTGAAAAGCTCTTGACAAAAGGTAAATTGCAATTTAGTTCTAATGCGGAAGTAAAAATTTCTACATGAATACATTCAAAAGTACGGAAAATATACACGATATTAATTAAATTGTTTCAAAATCGTATACGATATACAGTAGACCACACTTAAATGTAACACTGTACAAAATCAAGTCGAAAAAGGTAATCAAATACAAGTAATTGGAAACAAAATAAACGAAACTGTGACAAAGTTTTCTTCCTTCAAACTTGAATAAATTTTTGGCTGAGTTTTTAAATAAAATATTCTACAATATAAAAAAATCAAAACAGTTTTTGATTTTGAAGTTCTTCAATTTACAAATTAAATCTACGTGCAAGCGCAAATTTTTTGCACTTATCCATATGCAAGTGCAAATTACATGTAAATGCACAAATTTGAAGTTGTCGAATGTTTGCATTAATCCATATTATACTATACATGAACATACTTATGTATTTCTGCAAATTTGCATGTTTGGAGTACTCACAAAAAATTCTCATATGCAATATAAAGAAACAAATATTTATGTATATATTTGTGCATTCTAACAAAAATATATCTACATAAGTATGTAAGTATGCATGTATTTAACTGTAAAATGAATTTACTTCCGGTAATATTTTGTTATGATTGTATGTAAAAATATAAAATAGTAAAAACTTGATCAGAAAACTAGAAAAAAACCACGTATTTTTCTGCCATTTTTTTTCTTGCTTTACTACATAAATATCTACTTAAATTAATAATAAATATTCATGTTTGAATTATTTTTTGACATTGAAAACTTTTATTTTATATTTTAATTTTAATTTTTTTAATTTCCTACTATTTTCATTTAATATTTTTATTTTGTTATTTTTAGTGTGTACCTAATTTACCTTATAATTAACAGAAGTTCATCTTATACAATAACATTATTGAAGTGAAGTGATTTATAAAAATAGTCAATTACACGCCTTTTATTAGTCTAAAGCTAATTAAAAGAGTACAATAAACAAGCTAATAGGAAAAAAAATTGTCAGTCGTAAATAAATTTTACAAATTATGTTTATGTTTGTATGTACATATGTATGTACATATATCTTTAATTTGTAACATATCTTCCCCAGTCCCAAGCCCATAACCAATTGAACATGTAAAACTATTTGGATAAGAACATTAAAATAAAGAGATATTAGTAAGAGCTAAAGTAAGTCATTTTAGAAAAATGGTAAAAAATACTTTTTGAACAGAAACACTGATTGAATCTATGCCTAGGAGTTTAAACGCAGTATTTAAATCAAAAGAAATGCATACCAAATATTAATTAAAAAGATAATAAGAGTTAAACAAAAAGTATTCTACTGAGCGGTTTTTATTTACGCTCACAGTATATTGTCAATGTTGCAACAAAAATATTTCTGTACTTTCATTAAAATTGTTTAGCATCATAAAATTTATGTATTTACAATTTTTATTTTAAAATTTTTGATATTTGGGCACTATTATAACACTATTACTTTTACTGTAGCCTTTATTTTTTTTAATAATGTACATAATATATTTTTCATATTACACTTGATACAACAGACATTTTGAAAATTTTTTAATTAATTGATTATTGTGATTTACTTGAAATAAATTTCCATTTTTTTTTAGTCGAATTCCTACAATATGAGCTAAAAATCCCTCAATATTGTATCGCAACACTACTATTTTTATTGATTTGAGAAACATACAGTGCATTTACATGTGAAAACATTTGTTGATTTTGTACACACATGCATACATACTTATGGCATATGAAAGGTTGAGAGTATGTATATACATACATATGTACATACGTACAATTAG